GTTGTTAGCTTGTATATTATTCTGTTGACGGAATGAAAAAAGAGACACAAGTCATTCTATCATATGTTGTCATCACTTGCGTTATCTTGTTCAAATTTGTTCAAACACACGCCTCCCTATAGCCATTACCATCCACGTGTAATTGCTAACTTCCTGATCCATATCCATATATGTTCTATACTATAAAACTCAATAGATTGCTCTAGTTCATGGTTACTCTTTCAATTCTCTTTATAAATTATTTTTACCAATCTCATCAATATCTATAGAAATAAAGTAAAAGAGAAATGTAAGAGTTTGATTAGTTTATAGCATGACGACAGGGCATTGATATTGATAGGCTAGTCTTTGGGAGGGACTCTTCCATTAGGCTTATGCTCGTTATATATTAATGCTTTCATTAAGAGCTGGTGTCACAAAAAGGCTATCCACGGAGGGTTCTAACTGACAGGAGATTGAGTGAAGTTTCGTAGAGTAAAGCCTCTAGGGATATCGGATCTTAACAGGGTAGCACTGTCATAAGTCCCACATTGGGGAGCCTTATAAGTAGTGTGAGGTTTCTAAGTTTAAAGGGCTCTCCCACTTAATAGGCTAGTCTTTTGGGATGGACTCTTCCATTAAACTTACGCTCATTACAGTATGTTAAACCAATTAAACACTAATACAACTCTATGCAGCCATCAAGCACCATCATGATTGTTGTCGATGTTGGAGGGAGAATCAAGAGCAAAAACAATGACATACACAACAATAAAAGCTAAAAAATTTGAAGAAGGTGAGGAAGGGTTTGAACAACAAAAAAAACCTAGCCATAATGAGAGAGAGTGATGAAGAAGGTGATGGAGAAGGCAACAAACATGGTTGAAGAAGAAGAAAGAGACAAAGTTGACATGAGAGATGAAGTTTGAGATTCTATGAGATGGGGTTCGACAAGCATTACAACATTTTTGTTATTTAGAAACACTTTAAAAATGTTGCTATAGACTTGAAAATTGCTATCTATTCAAGTGATTCCAACTTGAGTATTGCCTATTTCAAGATATAGGCTTGAAAACTGGTGCTTATATCCACATTATATAGCACCTTTAGAACTATTATTTAAAAAAACCATTGCTCAAAATTTAAAAAAAATGTTATAGTAAAGATATGAGATTGGCAATGAGATTGATGACAAACGCTTATGCCCAATGAGAAGTGTTGCTTTTTATTAATTAGAATGGTAAAGATAAGGCATAGATTAAACAACAAAGGTCATTTTTATGATGGTGAAGAAAGTAAATTGATCTTGTCATTGTTGATACAGTGGCTTGTTAAGAGTGATGGTTGTATTCTCCAAATAGGTGATTGTTGATATGGTAATTAACCCTCAATAACTTTGAAATAAGACAATGAAATTATGCTAAAGACCATTGTTGATCGTGAGGAGAAAGACGGCAAGACTAGGATCATAGGCAAATATGAATTTGAAAAACATTATAAGAATAATTTGGTAACAAAAAGGTGCATTCCCAGCACTTCATTTATGATAATAAGCCATTTTTAAAAAAATTTATGTTGTCCACCAAACTTGTAAAATGATGATACCTATTCCCATTCCCCTCATCACCACACCACCTATTATCTCTCCTACTCAACCTTGCCAAATTTATGAGTTGTCACTATGTGTTTGTACCTTTATGCTACCTTTTTATGATTTGTTGATTGAACTCTTCCCACAAAAGAAGTTTTAACGATTAGTTCTCCCCTCTCAAGGAGATCTAGTCCATTTATATATTCTTTTAATTTTTTTATAATTTATTTCTATCAAACTTATTAATATTAATATAAACAATAAGAAATAAAAGTGTGTATAATTTTAAATATGTTCATACATAATAAATTCAAAAATTAATATCATATTATTTTTTTCTCTCATGAAGAATAATTTTAAAAATATATTTTAAATATTATTTAAAAATTTATGTCATAATTTATAAATAAAACTAAATAAATTTTAAAAAATGTATCTTATAAATAACATGGAGGAATATTTAATATTGCAGTAAGTACTTACTTCTCAGCAGTGTTGGTGCTGGGAATAGAACAGTCATGTGACATCCACGTGGTTCCTTACATTCCGTTACAGAGGAGAGTTTATATTATATAATTAGTTTTGCAGGTTGCACACGAATCGGTGATCCAAACTATAGAGCAGTTGGCGTGGGCCCTCACCTGAAAAATAAAATAATAAAATCAGCAGGGTTTTCCAGCAAAAGTTTGTGAGACTAAAATGCCCTTCATTTTCACTTTAACATCATTCATGGCCTCTTTCCGTCATCACGCACGCGCGCGCACGCGTAGCGCAACCCATGGATCTCACTATTCTGTCTCTTCCTGTTCTTGTGCTTTTGCCCTTCGGCGTCTCTTTGGTTGCATTTTTAATCGGTTTTTATACTAAGCAATGTGTTAATAGTGAATACCCTGTTGTTCACTTTCAATGGTTTTTAATTAGTAAATTACAACTTATTGGTACATTCTTTTTGGTTAAGGCTGACCAAATGCCGGTGAAACAAGTAAATTTGGCTCGTGACTAATAAATTGCAATTGAAAAACATGTTATACTCTTATTATATATATATATATTATTAAAAAATATAAAATATTTTTAATTAAATTTTATCCTTCAATAAAATAATTATTTATTTTTAAATTAACTTTATCTTTTCATATGTATCTCTATTTAATAAAGTATTTCACCTCTGAAAAATATAACTTCATCTATTTAATAGGCGCACTGCTGAAAAGAAAGATAATAATTACACTTTAAAAAATTAAAAATATCTTTTATTTTTTAATATCTAACTTTTTAAAAAATGCTTTATATTTTTTTAATAAAGGAAATATGTTTTAATGTGTTCTGCTAAAATTAATTATGTGAATTTAATTCTATCATTTTCCATTTCTTGAAATATACTCCATCCAATTCAAATTGTAAAACATTTTTTTTCTATTAAGCTAGGTTGATACTCTCTCCGTTAAAAAATATAAAATATTTTTAATTGAATTTTTTCGTCCATTAAAGTAGTTATTTGTCTTTAAATTAATCATATTTTTTCACATTTATCCCTATTTATTAAGGTGTTTCATCCTAAAATAAATATAAAATAATTTATTCAATAGGAGCACAAAAAAAGACAATGATTAAATTTTAAAAGATTAAAAACATTTTATATTTTTAAATAGAGAGAGTACTTAATTACTTTTAATTTAAAATTATTTTTTTCAAATTTATCCTTGTATTATGATCAAGGTATAAGAAATATAATTTGGCTAAATGCTCATTGTCACTTTTTATAATAAAGGGGTTAAGGGCAAAAAGAGAAAGACATGTAATTTTTTTCATGGAAGTAATGAAATAATTACTTTTATTCGTATGTAAAATATAATTGACGAAAAAAAGTATCTTATAATTTTGATAAAAAAAAACTATTACTTTTAATCAATGAGATTTTTACAATGATCAAAAGTTTTTAAAGTTTAACTCATTACAAGTTAATTTTTATAATTTATTAAGTCATTAAATGACAAAGACTAACTTATTTCAAATAAAAAAAAATAGTCAATGATTACGCTTCAATAATTGCCCTGATCCTTCAAAAAAATAAATATCAATTATTATTTTAATTTAAAAATTATTATTTTTTTTAACAATAACTAAAACGAAACAAGTTATTATAACTTTTTTTATGCAAGTTTTTAATTCACTGAAGTCCAACTTTCTTCTAATATTATTAGGATGCTTGTTTGCTTAAAATCTCACATCCTCAATTATTATGGAAGAAAAGCAATCATTGTTTAAATTAAAGTAATCATTAATATTCATTATATTTAGATTTTAGTTAATTAAAATTTGCACAGAGAAGTTGTAGTTACTTGTTCTGTTATAATCATTGCTAAAAAAATAATTATTATTTAAACTAAAATAATTACTGATATTCACTTTTCTGGAGGACTAGGGCAGTTACTTTTTTATTTTAAATTTGAGATATTTTAGTCATTTTACTAAAAATTATTAATATAAAAAAGTCTCCAAAAACTTCAAAAAAATTACAATATTTAGTAAGATTTTATTATCATTTGCATATTTCAGGACAATTTTTTATCATTTTCGCTAGATTATTATAATATGTGCAAAAAGAAGAAAAAAGAATGGAAAACCGTAATTTACTCCCTTTTCCATATAAAATTGATTTCTTAGGAATTAACGTGGTCATCATAATAATAAATTACTCCCTCCATTTAAAAATATAATATATTTTTTGAGAAGTTGAATTTTAAAAATGTAAAGCATTTTTAATTTTTTAAGGTGTAATCATTGATTTTTTTTCAAAAGTATCCTTATTGATAATAATTTTATATTTATTATTGAGTATTTAATAGGGATAAATATGAAAAAAGATAAAGTTAATTTGAAAGTAAGTAACTATTTTATTAGATAGTAAAATTTAATTAAAATATTTTATATTTTTAAAAAGAAGGAGTACATGATATGTAAAATGATTTTTTTATTGACACTTAACTTTATCAAAATTTATATATATATATATATATATATTTTAATGTTTTTGTGATCTTCCTTATTTAGCCTAAATGACAATCCTTATCTTAGCTGGAAGCCAGTAGTTTCTTTTTCTATTTTAAAAAATTGTAGCCAAGAGCTTGAGAAGGAAGGTGGTGGGTATTGCGGAATGTGTAAAGCTAATCACTCACTATTCAGTTACGACTGTGCTGAGAAAGTCAATGAGAAATGGCAATCCCGAAATTTCGACAAAGGTGGAGGGCAACTAAGCAAAGATGCCCAATAATGCGGAAATACTCGCCTGAATCTTCCATCAAAATCCAGCTGCGCAAAACGTAGCTTCTACTCGTAGAGACTTTTTCATTTTCCTTTCCTCGTCTTTTGCTGTTTCAGAGCTTTCTGTGTATTCAAAACAAAAAGGAAAAGTGAAAAAAAAAAGCAGGAAAAGTTTTTAAAATAAAGGGAAAGTGGACGCCATTTCCTGTGACTTAGACCAGGAACCACTACGGTGTCAGAGAGAAAAAACGGAAGCTTCCTGCAAAGATTCAGTGGAATTTTCACTATCTCCATCTTTCTTTTAACGGTCAGTTCACTCCTTCTGCTTAGTGGAATTCTGACTGTACTAGCACAAGTATTGCATGTAAGTCGTCCGAGATTTTGTTTCGTGTTTTATTATCATGCTTGGAGCTATTTATGGCTGTTGATTTGGCTGAGGGAACATTTTTTTTTTTTGGATGATTCGATTGATCTATCTTATGCTGCGATCACATTCGAAGTCTACTCGTTGCTTCATTGATTGTTCGATATTCTTTTGAAGTTCTTTTTTTTTTTTTTCGCATTCTTTGTGAATGGATTCTAGATTGAGTTGCGCGGTCTATGAAGTGAAGTTTCATTTTGTCGCATCACATTAATTGGAAAGAGTGCGCAAGCATCTAATTATGTATAATTAATGGAAACGATGGGGGAAAAAAGAAAGCAATGTGAATGAAGAAAATTTGTCGGCACTGGTACAGTGTATGCATGGATGTGGACTTAAGTCCCTTGATAATATCTGCAAAAGCCCTTCCAATTGTTTCCGCTAATGCTCAAAGTTTTTATCAGCAAAGCATGATAATTGGGGCACTAATGAAAGCTACATTCAATCCAGCTTCCAAATAGTTACTCCCCTGCGTGCCTAATTTCATTAGAAACTTCCGTGAAATTGGCCTCCTTAGGAAGAATTTGTTATTTGAACTGTTGCCAGAGCTGGGTTCTAACTATGCTGTGGATAAGTGAGCATAATAAAAGAGAAGTGAGGCAACATGTCTATACATGTTAACAATGCCAAACAACATGTCTCTGATGCTGCTCAAATCTACTCTTAAATATTTTATCATCTAGAAATTGTTTAGTCAAAACATTTCTTTTTTAAGAAAAAATTCATATATCATGTATCAGAAATAAGGGATTATTATTATTTGTAGAGTACTATAATGTTAATGGCAATGCCGAGCATGGTCACAAGCAAAAATTTCACAAGAACTGTGCAATCTAAACTATGAAGTATGAAGTACTTCGTGGCACAAAGCCATGTTCTTAGGAAGATAATAACAATGAATTAAATCGCTTCTAGACAGGATAAGTTAATGTTGGTGTTAATGGTAATTGAAAGAAAAAATTTCATATAATGAATTCTTGCTTTATTGACCAGTATGGATCCTGTGTTCCAAGTTCTTGCAGACAAAATACCCACTAGAATGGGCTGTAATTAGAACCCTACAGCAACATGATGTCCAACGCAAGATTTCTATAGCACCAGCTTTTAGGTTGATGTACAAGTAGGGGCAGGATGCTTTGCCACTAGTTGGGGAAATGTACTGCAGTAGCCATATTTTGTGCTACTATTTTGCACGTTTCATATTTTACATAAGTTAGGCTAGCTTCTAAATGAAAAAAATATTTCTAATCCGTTTTCTTTTAATTAAAATTTTTTTCATTGGTGTCAAATTATCATGACTATCTGCATTGATTTGTATTATTAGACCTATGATGGCGTAGTTTAGGAGGAGGTGTAGAATAGGAATTTCTAACTCATGATAAAGAGTGCAATTGACTCAATCGTGCTTTTACAAGGTTGAATTTGGTGATGTCCCTAGTTTTTCTAATTGGTTATTTTATTTAGTCTCTATTATGGCTGCAAGTTTTTTTTATGCTGTATGCTTGTCAAGGTAGAGCTTGGTCAATGATAGAGCACAATGGCATTATGTAATCCATGTAGCCTACCCTATCTAGTGGGATAAGTCTTGTTTTTTTTTGTTGTATGCTTTTCAAGTTGAATCCTGAAAGCTATTTATGCAGTTTCCTTGGTGAGCATTTGTAAATCCTAGCTTTTACAACCTTCTACTTCACACTTTAGTTGTTCTAGTTGCAAGACACATTGCATAATCTTTTGTGTACAGGTTAACAGCTAATTTGTTCTCTCACGTTTCTCCTCTGATATTTCTTTTGGGTGCAGAATATGTACAAAATCAGCAGCCTTGGCTACTTATTAAATCTTGTGAAGGTGGACTTCATAAGCAAATCTTGCAGGATAGATGTTTGTGCAAACTCCTTAGCTGATTGAAACATTACGTGTTTTGGATATCTCCTGATACATACTTGCCATAGGTGGTGATGCACTCTATGGTAATGCATAGGTACCTTTGGTGCTGCATTATATTTGGATATCTTCATACATCTTTCATTTCAGGACAGCATAGGAATAGGAGCACTGGCTCAGAAGACCAGCTAGGTCAATCTGGGTCCCTTGTGAGTGATTTTTCTCAATTGCATCACTCTGTATCTGTTCAAATATCATCTCCATCATTTCCATTGAATGAGTCAGTATCTTGTGAGGACTTGGACGGTGTAGGATCGTTTAATACCACATGCTTGCTAAGTTCAACTTTTTATTTGGATTCTGATATTCACATATATGGAGTTGGAAACCTGGAGATTCTCCCTCATGCTTCAATATCATGTCCTATGGAAGGATGCACAATAATATTCAATATGTCCGGTAACATTAAACTTGGTCAATATGCATCTATTGTTGCTGGTTCTGTGGTTTTGTCAGCAGCCAATATGTCTATGGAATATGGTTCATCTATTAACACATCATCTTTGGGTGGGGCACCACCTTCCCAAACTAGCGGCACACCTTTTGGCTATGATGGAGCTGGTGGAGGGCATGGTGGACGTGGAGCATCCTGTTTAAAAGATAATACCACAAACTGGGGTGGTGATGTTTATGCTTGGTCTACTTTGTCTGAACCATGGTGTTATGGCAGTAAGGGTGGTGGAAAATCTGCTCAGAAAAAACTTGGAGGGAATGGTGGGGGACGTATTAAGGTTATAGTGAATGACACCTTGTTTGTAAATGGCTCTGTTACTGCAGAAGGTGGAGATGGTGGGTCTGATGGGGGAGGCGGGTCTGGTGGAAGTATCATAATACATGCCTTAAAGCTGTAAGTATCACTATATGTGTGTATTTGTGACTTCATGCTTATTGATTGCGAAGTGTCTCAATCTCTGAAGCATGTTTATTGTTATTAATCAATAACGTTTTACATTTTATTTCATTGAGGTTCTGTAATATTGATACTTGCTACATAATCATTAGTAGTGTTGTTGCATTTGAAAAGATATCGGAAGTCTAGATTATTAAATAACAAGCCATAAATCATGATGTTCAAATATCTTTTCTCATGGATTTTCTTCAGCATTTAGCCCATATGTCCACAGTCACCTTTGGGGTTACTTCCTTGCATATTTTCAACATGTTTCACTGGCTTGAGGGCTTTATTATCTTGGTTCACCTTATTTGTTTTAATAATATCTCAAGTCTTAACTCATACATATGTAATTGTATTTTTTGATCCTATACCATAGTTGTCTTTTTTTTTTTTTTCAAGCGGTTGAAAAGTTCCTGCTCACTTCATGATTTGCTAGAGCTACTAGGTACATAGAGTCATACATTCTTGTTGATAGGTCAATTCTAGTTTAGTTAATTGTATACTTGTGCATTGAAGTTGTTTTATTTTTAATGCAGTAGTTTGTGTTTTCGATTACAAATGTCCAAATTACTGCCTAAAGGATAAAATGTGTTGAGTCTAGAAGGCTTCCAATGAATAGGGAACCCTCCCAAAAGCTAGCTATCATGGTGGAAGAACCAATCTACTTTAGTACCTTGTAAAGCATCCCATATTTTTTTTAAGGAAAACAAAACTTTGAGTCGCTGTGCCAGAACACCAAAAAAAAAAGTGTAAAGATCTAGAATACTGAAAAAAAAAGCGTAGGAACTTATAGCAAAACTCGAGCAAAGCACAGGATCCAAAGTTATATTTCCCTTTTTTTTTAAATGAGATCTAGCCATTCATGCTATCTTGGTGCCTATCAGTTGGTCACCCTTTGAGAATTGATTTCTTGACAATTACACTTAGCTATAGGGCACTTGGTTTATTTGCTAGTTAGAACCCTCCATAAGTAGTGCCTTTTGAAGCCTCCAATCACTAGCTATGATGTGAATTGTTGGGAATCCAAGTTATTAAGATAGGAGAACCAGCCCATTTACGTATGTTGAGCACTTTCTACAACTTGGGTCTTATGCATCCTATGCTACCTTAATTTCTATCAAAGTCTTTTTTTTCCTTCAATTGTCGTTTGTTATAACAAAAAAATGTTTTTATATTGTTAGTACTATAGCATGAATATGGATATACGTTGAAATTCTGTAGATTACATCAATACTGGATCATGAGTTGATACATGGGGTGGAACTAAATGCATTTGAGGGGGGACAGAACCCCCCCCCCCAAAATTTTTTTGGGTAATATATGTATATAACGTTTATTTGCCCATATATTTTATAGTTTTGAACCCACTAAATTAATTGCAATTTTTTGGTCCACAATTTTATTGAATTTACGTACAAATTTGTATTTAACATTTTAACTTGAAAAAAATTTACACACTTTTATTTTTCCTTGGGTTGATATGCAATTTGGACCCTAAACCATAGGTTTTAGAGACGATTTGAACCTTTTACTTGTAATTAGTACATTTTAAACCCTGAACAATTAAAGTTGATGCATTCTTGCCCCTACTGTTAACTTGAAACTAACAACAGTTACTTTTTAAACATAGTGGGGCCCACAATGTTCTCTATCTGCATCTCTGGCTTTCTTCTTCCTCTCTCTCCCCTCTCTTTCTCTAAGAAGATCATGACTGAAGCAGAAGAAGACATTGAGCACATGAAGAGGATGCTTAAGGCATGGAGCCGCTCTGCATGTCGGTTACTTTAATGCAGATTGATGAAGTTGTCCTGTCATATCACTGAAATGAGGAGCAACAAGGGAAATCAATCCGTGAAATGGGTGTTGCTTGGAGAGCTGTTTGGGCCATAGTTTGATAAGAGGGACTGAGAGAGTGTTCAAAGTTAAAAATAATGTTCCTGAATTAAGCCGAGTTCCTTTGCTCTGCTGACGCTTGAGCTCAGCAGCACAGTCAAGTCATGGAATTGGGAGCCGAATTCTAGAGCTAGAGGTTTCTAGTAAGCCACATAGCTCGCCCACAAAACTGTGACTCTATGAAGGCGTTCCATGTTGACAGAAGATAAAAAGACAATCTGAGGCAGCAATTCATATGGTTCAACTGTCTCTAAAATCTTCAGGAAAAAAACCTCTAAATTCTAAAATTTCAATTGATTGGAAGTAAATGTTTATGGGAAAAATTATAATAAGTTGGTATTCACAAATAAAATAAGTTTAATTTGTTTATATATTTTTAGATATAAATTTTTTTTTGGGGAAGTATAAACTTTAATAGGTCATTTTTATATATAAATTCAATACTCTTGTTTGATTTATAAATATTTACACCAATGAATATAATGATCACCTAATCACCCTCGATACAGCCAGGTTTTTGTGGTTTGGTTGCATGTAGATGGATATGGTGGCATTCTAGTGTTTTTATCTTGCGTTTTCTTGAAAACATATACTAAAATCATGCACTCCCAGTAGCTTCATCAAGCACGAGATGGCGTCTTCTTTTGCTTCAGTCATGATCTTCTCAGAGTAGGAGGGGGGAGGGAGGAGAGAGCCAAAGACATAGGTAGAGAATGTTGTGGGCCCCACTATGTTTAAAAAGTGACCACTGTTAGTTTCAAATTAATGGTAGGGACGAGGATGCATTGACTTTAATTGTTCGGGATTCAAAATATACTAATAACAAGTTTAGAGTTCAAATCGCTCCTAAACCTATAGTTTAAGTCCAAATTGCATATTAATCTTTTTTTTCTTTATCCTCTTTTTTCTCATTCATATTTCTCCGTAACTTTTTTCTCTTTTTCATTACCTTAAAATTTTAGTTAAAGTTTACTACTTCAATCCTTAATATAAGATAAAGTTAGTAAACTTCATGTTTATTTTGAAATATTACCATTATAAATTGTTAATTAGAAATTCAAATGACAATAAATAAACAAGGGGTAAAATTGAAAAAAAAAGCATTAATTATTTTAACTTTGTCTTATATTTAGGACCAAAAAATGCTTTCAAATGTTGTCTTATATTAAGGAATGGAGGGAGTACGTAATAGTGTTTCTTTTCTTTTGCTGCCCCATTGTTTAATAATTTTTTCTGATTTTCAATGTATATTTGATATGGGCATACCTATGATGTTTTTTTTTTTGGGGTATTTTTTTTAATAATCTAGTAATATATGTATTTAAAATGTCAATATATTATTTTCAGTTAGGCCTTTCAAACAATTCTATTTGAAAGCACTATAATTTTTATAATTTTTTTAAACCATACAACAACAACAACAACAAGCCTTTATCCCACTAGGTGGGGTCGGCTACATGGATTGCAAGACGCCATTGTGCTCTATCATTTATTAAGCTTTTAGAAATATTATTAATTAAGAGATCACGTTCAACAACTTCCAAGAGTGTTCTCTTAGGCCTTCCTCTACCTCTCTTAATCGGACTCAAAGTTATATGTTCCACTCTTCTCACTGGTGCCTCCCTTGGTCTTCTTTGTACATGCCCAAACCATCTCAACCGATTTTCTACCATTTTTTCCTCAATAGGTGCCACCCTCACTTTTTCACGTATGTGCTCATTTCGAATTTTATCTTTACGTGTATGTCCGCACATCCATCGTAACATTCTCATCTCTGCTACTCCAACTTTATGCTCTTGCTGTCCCGTTAGAGCCCAGCATTCACTACTATATAACATTGCCGGTCTGATAGCAGTACGATAAAACTTTCCTTTAAGTTTATTAGGCACCTTACGGTCACAAATAACTCCTTTAGCTTTTCTCCAATTAAACCACCCAGCTTGAATTCTATGTGAAATATCTCCACTGATTTCGCCATCATTTTGAATAATGGCTCCCAAATATCTAAACTTTTCCACTTGAGGTATAATTTGATCTCCCAATTTCACTTCCAAATTATTTTCGAATAGTCCTTTACCAAATTTACAATATAAATATTCCGTCTTACTTCTACTCAGACGAAAACCTTTCGACTCCAATGTCCTCCTCCATAACTCAAGTTTGCAATTAACCTCTTCTCTTGTCTCTGCTATAAGAACTATATCATCCGCGAAGAGCATACATTTCGGGATTTCCTCTTGAATATGTTCCGTCAAAACATTTAAAATCAAGTTGAACAAATAAGGACTCAGAGATGATCCCTAATGTAGTCCAATCTTTATAGGAAAATCCTTTGTTTGACCACTAGGCGTTCTTATACTAGTTTTTACCCCCTCATACATATCTTGTATGGCTTTAATATAAGCAATCCGTACTCCCTTTTTTCCAACGCTTTCCAAAGCACTTCTCTTGGTATACGGTCATAAGCTTTTTCCAAATCAATAAAAACCATGTGTAGATCTTTATCTTTACAACGATACTTTTCCATTAATCCCCTTAGTAGATAAATTGCCTCTGTAGTTGATCTACCTGGCATAAAACCAAATTGATTCTCAGAAATACTTGTCTCCAATCTCAACCTGTGCTCAATTACTTTCTCCCACAATTTCATTGTGTGGCTCATGAGTTTAATCCCTCTATAGTTAGTACAATTCTGAATATCTCCTTTATTTTTATAAATAGGAATTAATGTACTTCTCCGCCACTCATCAGGCATTTTCTTGGACCGTAAAATCACATTAAATAGCTTAGTTAACCATCTCACCCCTTCTTCACCTAAACATTTCCACGCTTCGATAGATATACAATCAGGTCCGTTAGCTCTACCATTTGCCATTTTCTTAAGAGCTTCCTTTACCTCCTTATCACGTATTTTTCGATAGAATGACAAATTTTGTTCTCCTTCACCAGTTACTAAATCCTCCAAGTTACTAGATGAATCCTCTCCATCATTGAAAAGTTTACAAAAATAAGTCTCCCATCTATTTTTAATTTCATCATCTGTAACTAAAATTCTTCCCTCTTCATCCTTAATACACCTTACCTGTTCTAGATCTCTTGATTTTCTTTCTCTACTCTTGGCAATCTTATAAATATTTTGCTCTCCTTCCTTCGTCTCAAGGTTCTTATAAAATTCTTCAAAAGCTTTGGAACGAGCTTCACCCACAGCTCTCTTAGTTTCCTTCTTAACCATACGGTACCTCTCCCAATTTTCCTCATTGTTACACAAATGTATGGCTTTAAAACAGTTCTTCTTATACTTGATTTTGTCCTGTACACTATTATTCCACCACCAAGACTCCTTATCTCTCGGACCAGAACCTTTCGATTCTCCCAAAACTACTTTTGCAACCTCCCGTATCTTTTTAGCCATATCCTCCCATATGATGTTAGCACTTCCCTGAGAATCCCAAATTCCTTTATCCAAAAGATTTCGCTTGAAAATATCTTGCTTCTCACCTTTTAATTGCCACCACCTAATCTTTGGTGTTACTACTTGTCGACGTTTTTGGATTTTACTCATAATACACACATCAAGGACTAGGACCCTATGTTGTGTCGTTACAGCATCTCCAGGGATCACCTTACAATTTTTACAAAGTTTTCTATCTGTGTTCAATTTTTTTAAACCATGTTTGAATAAAATAGTATTTGTAGCTTTATATATATATATATATATATATGTCTCTATTATGATTAGATAAGCTTGCTTTCCTCCAAGATGTTATTCTTAGCATTTCATTAAAATATTATGATTTGTTTGCGACAATTCATAATATATTTTTTCAATGTATCGTTGTTATGAATTGCATGAGTTGTTACAGAATGATATCCTCAAATGAGCATTTAGGTAATGAAACTATTGATATTGGAACACTACTCAATTTAAATTTAAGAAGGAAAAATCATGATATTATTAGTGGGTTAATTACATGTCTTAATTCAAAAGTTCAAATGAAAATAGGTTATTTTAATGATATATATAAAATTATAAATTGTTTTTAAATGATAATTTCTTATAAAATATTTTGCTCCCACTGATCATGGTTCCTAGCTCCACCACTGAATTTGAGATAAGAAATCGGACTGTTTTTTTTTTTTTTTTTTTGGGGGGGGGGAATCCTGTGATAATTGGTGGTAAGGAGGCCAGTATTACTCTTGAGATCTATCAGAGATTTTGTACAAGTAAATTTACCACCTAAACTTTTCAAGGACAAGGGTGAAAAAGGACAATTGCAAAACCACCAATAATACTTCTGTGATATCTTAAATGAAAGTTGGCATACCAAAAGGACTTTTGGGAGATACCAGAAGTTGTATTCAAACACTCCCTTAACCTCAAAATCCCCTCTCGAGTGAAGATTAAGGAGGTAATATATTTATTTTTCTACAATTATGATAACATGATATGTGAAATTCTAAATTTAAATGGTCATGTGAGGTAATTAATATTACTATTAAAAATAACTGAAGTGATGCTTTATGTCCATTTAAAATGCATACTTAAAATTCCAGTTTAGCTCGCTCTGTGTGCAGTTTAATGTCCCAAACTATTGAAGCTAAAAACCTCTTTTGTAATATGTAATCCTATTGAAACGTAGTTCTTGGTGGCTTTCCACCTAATGTCTCTTTTCTGTAATTTTCTCGGCCTCATGGCCTAGTTGTAATTGTTTTTTCTGTCATGATAATTATTCCCTTGTTTGCAAAAAAAAAAAAATGCTTGCTTAATATTTGTCTGATCGTGCAAAACTAAAGCACTTTTCATTTATTGAGGTTTTGATTTTCTCTCTTGCATGCTAGCATGTAGCTTGTCTTTTTTGTTTTTTTTTTTAAACAAATAAATTTCTTTCAAGCTCTCTTCTAGTCTCTCCCCCATCAATAAGGAACAGCAATATCTGACCCATCTTTTTGTTCTGATTTCTGAATCACTGAGAAGCTTCTCTTGCCCAATAGTTTTATTTACTAGAAGAGCTAATATTGCACTTCTAACTTTTCTTGGACTTTACATTTTTGGACAAGTGTAGGAAGGGATATGGTATTATCAGTGCTGCTGGTGGGAAGGGATGGGGTGGCGGTGGTGGAGGAAGAATATCACTTGATTGTTACAGCATACAAGAAGATTTAAAAGTTTCTGTCCATGGTTTGTATCAATACACTTCTGTACCTGGTAGTTGAACCTATGGTTGTTCATGGTAGATATTTAATATTTAATTCGTTTGAGAGAATTAAAAGAATGTTAAGCATGATTTATGTGAAAAAGAACCAACAATTTGGACAATCTCATTTGAAGGTATATAGAAATCACTATATGTTGGCTGCAAAATTTATATGAGCGAAATTAAGGATACTACTCTTTATTTAAAAAGAATGAAAATGATGTAATCCTAAATTGATTTTCATGTATCCGTTTGACCTACGTTTGAATGACATTTTTTCAGGAGTTAGTCTGATCTAGGATGAGGATTAAAAGGGAGAGGGAGAAGGAGAAGGGAGACAAGTAGAGAGAAAAAGGGAGAAAGGGAAGAAGAATGAGGGAGAAACAGACAATACTAACTCTGACTATTCAAATCGTCAAGTCTGGCATAAAGGTTATAATATAGGGCTATTTGTAGAGTCCTAAACACAACAACTTAAAGTAAAAGAAATCACTGAAGGCATAAAATAAATCTAAGGTCTCCTACACATAAAATAGATCTTTTCAAATTTCCCATCAAAACCCCACAATAATATTTCTACGGAGTTTGAAACTTAGTTCATAAGGTCTTAATTTTCACTGGATTGGAAGATAATTTTCAAGAAATTGTTGACACGTAACCACATCTCCTTCATGTGTACATCCGTAGACTGAAATCTGAGAGGAAGCAGAGGAAAACAGTGACCTCAAATTAAGCTATAATGATGGCCCTTCGATCTCTTGCTAGCATCATTGTTTTAGACTCTGAGGTCTTGTCCCAAATCGTTCTTCATCTTCTTTGTTATCAAATGAAGCAGCATGGAGAAACATGGACGGATAGCAGAGTTTATAAAGCAAGGAATGGATTAGAGAATGTGATCAGAATAGCCGCTTAGAGAAATAAATAAGGCTGTTTGACTTGACTCAATCATTTGGGTATTTGTGTTTTTAATCTGAAACGAAATGATGGATCCATTTTCCATTTAAAAAAGAGAAGGATGCTTAGCTCCACCTCAGAGGCAAGCAGATCAACACTCCCCTTTTTATTTATATATATGCTCAGAAATGTTTGGTGGCAGTGATAGTATGCTTTTAGTTGTTTTAGTTTTAGATTGACTTTTCTTAAAAAAACACGCATTGGGTTCATGACATCTTACTGCATCATATTTATTATTTTCATTTCATAGCACCTATATTGCTCCCGTTTTCATATTGCTTTTAGCAAAACGAGACTTGTGTATAATTGTTATGTACTTGTAATATTGAAAAGTTATTTACTGTTAGTAAATTATAGTTAGTTAAGGGAAATAACCGTTGCGTAGTTACAAGGATTAGGAGGAGTAGCTTGAAGTTTGCACATTTGCCCTTCAAGCCAAAAAAACATAGTTAGTGATTCATAATCTCAGAAAACATTGTTAATACTTTTGAGCCACTTAAGCCCTAGTACTAAATCATAAGCATGCAGTTCAAGAATTCTAAAATCAAAAGTAAATTCTAAGCGCTGCTTTCTCCATTTTAAGCCCTTCCAAATGCCATGAACTTTAAGCTTTCTTCCCCCAGCCACTTCTACCCAAGATTCGCTTGTTCCATCAGGCTGCCATCCAAGCTTCTTGGGCACATCATAATCCAAGAAATCACAGGTGCTGCCATTATGAATAAGCATCTAGAGTTGTCTCTTGCCACAGTGCCCTGTGAGTCTCATTGAAGAAGCACCATCCACCCCATCCCATCAATAGTGTGAAGAGAGATGAAAAGCTTATCATCTTCTTCCTCTGTCTCAATGGCTTCCTCAGTCTCATTGTGATCAAGTATGGTGCTCATTATTTCCATTCAGCATCAACAGTGACCGATGACAGTGCACAGTGACAGAGAACAATGAACAGTAGCTTCTAGGAGTTTAATGCTCTCTTTTCAATATTTCAGCATAAGTTCCCTCAAATTACTGTACATGACCTTCGAGGGCAAAGGTCTTTTGGGAAGGGGGTATTGTTATATAATTGTAATATCGAAAAGTTAGTTATTGTTAGTTAATTAGAGTTAGTTAAGGGACATAACTCTTGGGCAGTTGCAAGGATTAGGAGCCTATAAATACTCGAGATACCTTTGTAATCCTTATGCTTTTGGCTATTCCGGCAGATTGATCATATTACCCAGAGTCTCTTGTCTCTCTTTCTCTCCTCTGTTCTATTCTTCTCTCTTTCCTTCTTATCTCTCTGTTCCTTCTCTCTTTAGTCTCTTTCTCTCTCCTTTCTGTATTATTCTTCTGTATCAATAATATATGCATTTATTGTGACAGGAGGTTTGAGTATTGGCTGTCCTGGAAATTCTGGAGCTGCTGGAACATATTTCAATGCAAATTTACTAAGTCTGAGAGTCAGCAATGATAATCTCACAACAGAAACTGATACTCCATTGCTTGACTTCTCAACCCGCCCGCTCTGGTCAAATGTTTATGTGGAGAATCATGCAAAAGTTTTGGTTCCTCTTGTTTGGTCCAGAGTTCAGGTAAGAAAGTTATATACACAAGACATATGTATCAACATAGATATTAATGTATCTTGGATTTTTATTTTCCTGCATATGTCAGGAAAATTTTGGCATCATTTTTTCCTTAGCAACGTTAGATTTTAATAAATTCAGTTTTTATTTCAGTTGGCTCTGTTAATATTTCTCTAGCATAATATATTTTTGTAAATTATAATATTAGTTTATTCTTTGGAAATTTTTGTCTAATTTCTATTTGCTTATCTAACCCTTGTAGCCTTAATTCTTGATAACTGAAACACATTGATTATGAAGGTAAGAGGCCAAATTAGTGTATATCGTGGAGGAAGCATAATCTTTGGGTTGTCCGATTATCCAATTTCTGAATTTGAGCTCGTTGCAGAAGAGCTTTTAATGAGTGATTCCATCATAAAGGTAATAGATTGTGATTGAAAGTGCTTTTGCTCAAGTGGATATCCTTTTTTAATCTATGTGAACGCCAATTGTTTAGGATTTTTATGTCTCTAAGCTAAGATTTTTGTAACATGATTTAACAATTTTACCTTTAATACCTGAAGGTTTTTGGTGCCTTTAGAGTTGCTATTAAAATGTTACTCATGTGGAACTCCAAAATCCAAATTGATGGTGGTGAAGATAGGGTTGTTACTGCTTCAGTCCTTGAAGTCAGGAATCTGGTTGTTTTAAGGGTATCATGGTCTTCATCTAAAAACTATTTAGCATACTTGTCCTTGGGATCATATTTGGTGCTTGGTGGTTTGAAATAATCTTTCTGATTGTGATTTTCCCCCCAACTTGCAGCAAAACTCTACCATAAGTTCAAATGCAAACTTAGGTTTATATGGTCAAGGTCTACTGAGGTTGACCGGTCATGGGGATGCAATCAAAGGCCAGCGACTTTCCTTGTCTCTATTTTATAATATAACTGTAAGCAATTCCTTAGACACTGGTTCTCATTGTTTTAGTTGTAAATTTTGGGGTTCTTCTAAGAAATACTGCTATTGATGTCGAGATGGGATGCTACAATGTCATAGAGATCACAAAACCCCAAGAGTCCAGGGGCAATTTCAAGTGTTTAGTTATGGTTGATAGGAGTGTTCAGTGTGTAACAAATATGGACAATGCTCTTTTCTGTAACAGAATTCATCTCTTTTATTTTCACTTGTAGTTTATCTTTCTTGATGAGAAAAATAGTGTATCCTTCTCTTTCATTTCTTCTCTCTTTTTCGTTACGATTAAATTTCATTTTATTTAAAAAATATCCCTTCTTCCATGACAGGTTGGCCCAGGTTCTTTACTTCAGGCTCCTTTGGATGACAATGAAAGTAGAGGCTTGTAAGCACGGATACTTTCTAGTCACATTATTTGATTTATGGGACTGAATTCCATACAGCTTGTGAACTCCTTATCAGTTACAAACTTATCTATTTTGAATTTTTTTTTCTTTTAGGGTCACAAAAAGTCTTTGTGAGACACAAAGTTGTCCTGTAGATTTGATTACTCCACCTGACGATTGCCATGTCAATTATACACTCTCTTTCTCACTTCAAGTAAGATTCATGACGTAATTATGGGTGTATGCTTAAGCATCTTCAAATTGCAATTTTTACTTCCTGTCACTTTTTCTTGGATTCTCTCTCCTTTTCCCCCCTCTTTGACCTTTCAATGTCTTGCTTGAAGCATATGACACTATTTCTTTTTGACCACATCAGCCATTGCTGATTATTCAAGTTAAATGACTCTTTTATGTTGCCAATTGTAATATCCTGCTAGGATAGAAATTTGAGATGGTATTTTTTTTTTAATTAACTTTTTTCCAGATATGTCGTGTTGAGGATATTCTTGTAAATGGCATTATGAAGGGAAGTGTAATTCACATCCACAGGGCAAGGACTGTCATTGTTGATGCTGATGGCATGATTACAGCCTCTGGGTTAGGTAAGTTCTATAATTTTGCTGGTCCTTTCTACCTTTGTCTGGTTGATGGTATAGATTTGTGATTCTGATCCGACAGTGTGTGACCTTTTTCAGGTTGCACTGGAGGTATTGGAAAGGGAAACTTTTGAATGGAGCTGGTGGTGGAGCTGGTTATGGTGGAAGAGGAGGGTCTGGATATTTCAATGGGGGAGAGAGTAGTGGTGGTAGTGTATATGGCAATGCCAGTCTTCCATGTGAGCTGGGCAGCGGAACCAAAGGCCCTGATGAATCATATGGCCAAGTGATTGGAGGGGGAATGATTGGTAATTTTTTTTGAAATGCCTTTAGTTTTATTTGTTTCAAGTATAGAATTTGTCTTGACTTTGCTTGGGGCTGCAAATATTTGCATTTCTGACAAATACAGATATTACAATAACCCATCCTCTGCTTTCTTTTCATACTTCTAGTCTTTGTGCAAAGTATCTGATTTTGAAAATTATGTTTTGTTGTTGCTAGTGATGGGATCCATTCAGTGGCCACTTTTGAGGGTTGACCTTTATGGATCTATGAGGGCTGACGGTCAAAGCTTTAGCAAAGTAATGCGAAATAGTGATGGTTCTTTGGTTGGTGGTCTTGGAGGGGGTTCTGGCGGGACAGTACTTATTTTCCTTCAAGAACTCAGGCTGTTGGACAATTCATCCCTAACTGTTGTTGGTGGCAATGGTGGCCTTCTTGGTGGCGGTGGTGGTGGGGGAGGGAGAATTCATTTCCACTGGTCAAAGATTGGTGCTGGTGAAGAGTATGTTCCTGTTGCCAGTATACATGGCCTAATGAACAGCAGGTGTATATTATCACATCTTAAATAATGGCTTCAAAACATAAAATAGATATTAATTCTTCTTCTTGGGTTAACATTTGTATCTTCATGATAATCTTTTAATGAAAAGTTGAGAATTTCAAGAGCTATTTAGAGAAAGTGTTTGTTTACCATGCTTGTGGAGCTTTTCAGATATTATGTAGTTCTTGCTGCCGTGGACACTTTAAATTTGGACTTTAAACTAATCTACTTTGAAGGGACTCCTGCTTCAGTAGAATTGCACACTGTATCTCTTACACAGGAAGAGAAAGAAAAGTGAACCACCTGAATGCAAAGATTCCATTGCAAATTGGCAACGTTCTTAGTGAAACATTGAACAAATTGAGATGATAGGATTTTTCTTGTAGTACTATTAGCTGGGGTAATATCTATTCAGTGCACTAAGAATGAATTGGCATAAAGGTCAATGGCGTTATTTTTGGTTTTCAGTTAGATTGCTCAAAGGACTGGCGAAAATGAGTGTCATCTTTACTAATTTTTGCTTTTGTTGATAAAAGTCATATACTTCTTCAGACAAACATCTAAAAAAATGTGGTTTTGGCTCAAAAGCTACCTTGGTTTGTCACATCCCCTGCCCTTCTTTTTATTTTTTTCCTTTTGAGGTGTTAAACTCATTAGTTTAAGTAATTTGAATCGCCATATTTTAAATAATTCAATAACAGAGTGGGCTAAGTAATCCAAAAATTATATTTTCTTTGTGATTTTTGACAGTGGAGGTGCTGGGAATAATGGTGGCCATCATGGAATGGGGGGTACCATTACAGGGAAAGAATGCCCCAAGGGCCTCTATGGCATTTTTGTAAGGTTTGTTCCGTTTGATTCTATGTTCCTTTTCTTCTTACATTGTATCCTTATGCATAGAACTTGGACGGCATTCAAGCTGTCTCAGATCTCTAATATATTTTCTCACATGCATTAAAACTTTATGTCCTGAAATTAATCAAACAGAGCAATTGAGTTTTCAGGAATGCCCAATTGGTACTTACAAAGATGTTGATGGCTCTGATATGAATCTTTGCATTCCTTGTCCTATTGATCTTCTTCCCAATCGTGCAAATTTCATATATATACGAGGTATCTTTGATGTTGCAACTTGTTTAATATGCATAATGTTTTGCTCTCTCTTTAATAATAATAATTGCAA